AGTGGAACAGTGGAATGTCCCAACACTGGAAGTCTTTAAGAAGATGTTGGATAGCCATTTGTCTGGAACAGTATAGGGTTTCCTGCCTAGGCAGGGGGTTGGACAAGAAACCTCCAAGGTCCCTTCCAACTCTGCGATTTTATTGTACGACAAGGAAGAATCCATATCCCAAGTAAGATGGTAGGACAAGCTACTGTATATAAAAAGCCAGCAAACTCTACCTCCCAGTGCACTGATGATGTAACCTACACTGGTAATAAAAAAAATAAAATTGCAACGAAAGAGTAGAAAATCAGACAAAACATGAATTTCTTTCTCCTAGTCTACTTAAATGAAGGACTAACAGCCCGATTAGACATCCATCTGTTCTTTGCTTATTATGGCTTGAAATACAAGTAGTACTTGTTTAATGACTGGTCACAGTAAAGTTATGATGGACCCCCCCCCCCCAAAAGGTATTTATGAACTGATTTCAGTGTTATGATAGCCACACTCTGCCTCCTTATGGTCACGTAATCATATTTTTGGTGCTTGGCAAACCAGCTCATATTTGCAGCATCCTGCAGTCACGTGACCAAGATTTTCCCAAAAAAAATTGCTAGTTTTCAGATTTTACATTCAGTGTCTGGCAAAAAAAATGTCCATTGGGTATAATGGATTTGTTTAATGATCATGGTGTTAATCACAAGCAGCATTTATTTAACCACCACTGTAAAAAAAAATATTAAAATCAGGTGTGGTCTCACAGTAAGTCACTTAACAACCCCCACGACTTACGACCATAATTCTGAATTACAGTTATAGGTTGAGGGCCACTGGTATTCGTCTTCCTTTTTCAGCCTCTAAGACACGAGTATCAAGCCTGATTGTGTCACATGACATTTAGTGACGTATCACAACGTGTTTTTTTTTGCTTTTGTAGAGGCGCGGTGGGCGTGGCCTGTGTGTGACGCATCCAGCCCATGAGCCGCCAGTTTGACTGGCCTACTCTAGAACTTCTTTTGCAGTTTATTCCAAAAGATGATAAACAAATTATGGGAATAAATAAATCCGTGCCTGTCACTTTTGCTGGGTGCCTTCAACACCTTGGTTATTCTTCCTAATGTCTTTGGGTCAGCCTTGATTCCTGGGAAATTCCTGGCAGTTTTCTTGGCAAGTTTTCAGAAGTAAAATATAAATGTTTAAAAGACCTGTGTTCAAGTACCGATGTCTAAGCCATCTAGCCACTGAAGCACAGCATCATTTATATTTTAAAAAATTGAATAATGGAGAGTGTATACCCTCAGCTTACAGCTGGTCACAATCAGGGGTGGGATTCAGCCAGTTCGGACCAGTTCGCATGAACCGGTAGTCCCAGCGATCAGTTGACCCCGCCCACCTGCCCCTGAGCTAGTGTGTCCTATATTTCCTTTTGTTTGAAGCCCAGCTGAGAGGCATGGTAGAATGGATTGCCACACCTACGCTGTTTTTACTCACTGGGGCTACCGTAGAAGCTACATTTCAGAGCCGTTTTGAAACGAACTGCGCAGACGTGCAGGGAACCGGTCCCACCCCCTGGCCACAATGTGATATACGGTTTGATGTAAGACCCTGCAGTCACACTGAGGGGAGGATATTATGCCCAGTTTATACAGAGAGAAGATTTCTAGATTTGTAAGATAAGCAGATTGATAAGATACCTGAGAAAACTGTGGCTACTAAGAGTCAGCAACGGCTTAATAGGTGGTGCGCGTGCGAGAGAGAGAGAGAGGTTGACTAGTCTAGAGAGAAATGTTGAGTAGATTCAGATAGACCGAAATAGAAAAGTACGAGTACAGATATGATACGTCCACCATTCAGCGCTGTGTGTCAATGGGATGAGCTGGAGGAAAATCCCAAGGGGATTTTCATGGAATAGGAGACAGACTCGTTATTAGCTTTAGATCACATCATAGCAACGTCATCCAAGATGTGTCACCATGACCCCAAATCTTTCTCCGGTGTCTTGGGTATTTCTTTCCCCTGACTTGCTACTTTGAAATTTGGCCACATTCCCTTTGGGGGACTTTCACATGACTTATTTTTTTTGGGGGGGGGTATTGCAATCTTCCTGGGTGGGCTTGCTACTCCCGGTATCTCCAAAATATGTCCCCCCCCCTCTTTTTCCCATCAAGGTTACAAGGAGCTATGATTGACTCAGCCCGGTGAAATAGCAACTTGGTTACCCTCTAAAAATAGACCACATTTTTCATTCTCCCAACATAGCTCAGGGCTCCCAGATATAATCCGCTTGCAAGGGGCCAGCGAGAGATTTGAGCCAGGCTGAAGAGTGGAGCAGGACTCCTCTTTAGAGAGACACAGGACAAGACCTCCAGAAGACCCAGGTCGGGATTTGGGAATAAGCGACTCCTTTCCAGATTTCTGGCTCCCTTCTGTAAGTCAATTTTCAGGGTGTGATGATGATGATGATGATGATGATGAGGGTGGTTAAATTGGAGCCAGATTTTTTTTAAAAAAAAAATATAACCTCTCGGTGTAGGCAGTCTTCAACTTACGACCACAACTGAGCCTAATATTTCTGTTAAGGGAGACATCTGTTAAGCGAGTTTCGCCCCATTTTACAACCTGCCATAGTTATTAAGCGAATTGCTGTAGTTGCTAAGTTAATAGCATGTTCGTTAAGTGAGTTCTGGCTTCCCTTTGACTTTGCTCGTTAAAAGGTCACAGAAGGGGATCACGTGACACCCCGCGACACTGCAACCGTCATAATTTTGAGCCCGTTGCCAAGCCTCTGAGTTTTGATCATGGGACCATGGAGGCAGTGTGAAAAACTGTCGTAAGTCCACATTTTTCCAGTGCCGTTTGTAACTTTGAACAGTCTCTATGTTGTAAGTCGAGGACTACCTCTGCTGGACTGCATGGTCGCTGAGCGAAATCAAAGCCAGAGTTGCGGATTGCTGAAAAAAAATCTCACTTTGT